GGGGGGGGTATTTTTTAAAATTTTTAATTCATTGGTTGAGGTTACTGTTGTGTTGAGGATACGTGTTGATATTTACTGAGCATGAACAAAATTGTCCGTCTCCCTGGTGAATGTTCCCACTACAAGACATGGTGATTTGTCAGGGCAATTACATTTTTTTCGCTGTCTTTCACAATGTGTTACAATGTCAAAATCTGAACTGATTGTACGGTATGGGCAAAGTACTTTCAGATTCTTTTTCATGTAGCTGACTGGGACTTTTTTTTTTTTTTTTTTTTAATTGAGGGCTGGTGTTGTGGGTGGGAAACAGTTTTTTTCCTTTTTCTAATTTATTTATTTATTGGTGTTAGTTATTTATTTTGCGCATTTGCTGGGGTTGGGATTTTTTACTAAATGAATTTGTGTGAAAATGGGGTGGTAGTTTCCCAGCTCAGTGGGTTGGTTATGGAAGGCTGGTGGTTAGTTCATGGAGCATCCTGCAGTTACTTGTCCCTCATCAACTTTTGTTTGATGCCGTGTGAGAAAGAAATTGACACGTATCATCTTTTCATCTTGCGGAAGAATATAAGGTACCTTTGTCACAAGAGGCTACCTCAGCTGTGAAAAGGAACGACATTTTGAAGACAGAATTTTGCAATAATATAATTGACTTGATCACGGAAGAAAAGTGCGATTGCAATACTGAGAGGGAGGAACCATTTCTTGATCTTTATGATGATGCTATTCGTAGATTTTTGCTGCAGGTGTATATTGTTTTCTAAATTTCTATTGAAAGTGACTGTTTTTTCATGAGAAGCAAGCTTGGCCTTTTCTACGTCGGTCCTTCTTGTAAATGCGCATAATGATGCCCTGAACTGTTCCCTGCTTTGACACCCGACACCCCCCCTCCCCCAAGCCCCCTATTCCCACTATGTGCATGAGGCAGCTGTACGTTCTCCCAAAGCTTGCCTTATGGATATGTGCCAATACTGATTCTTCCATGTACGTATACGTTGAAAGCTACACCATTAGACATTGTTGTGAACATATTTCTTTGTCATAGCTACGATTATAGAGTCTGTGAATTCATCCGATGTTGTACTATATTAGTATAAACCGTGTGTTGTTATATAATATAATAAGAGAAAAAAGTCTTATCTGAGATTATGAAGATTTATGACGCTGTGGCCTGTTGAAGCCTTGAGAGTTTATTTATTGCATATTAGTTTGGCTGTCCTCGTAGCTTTTCTCGTGAGTATTATCTGGCTGACGTGGTTTCTACCTATAACAACACTTAACACTAGTGATGCTGGCACCTCCTCATTCATCGGTGACCGGCGTGTACCTGTGTGAGTGTGTGTGTGTGTTTTGTACATAGTTTGTGCTTCAGTGCTAAAGGCCAGATTAACGCGTTACAGTGTGTTGGGGAAGTAGATGCTGCACAAGTGTGATGTACCATATAAATAATGTATATATTGACTGTGAATAGCCCTTCAGCCTGTATATATTTAGTCTCTGTAAATAACGTTGGACACATTTTCAGTTTTCTGAGCTGTTGTTCCTGTCCAACAGACGTGTATTGAGCTGTTCAGTGTTTAATTTGTGTGCTAATCAAAACTTGTATAGGAATTAAAGGAGGAAAGATAGAGTTTGCTGTTGTAGCTCTTGGCAGAAGCACACTTCCTGTATGTCACCATTGGAGGTAACGAGACAAGCAAGCTGTGAAATGGATTAGGAGGGTTACAGAGGTGGAAGGTTAAAGGTTATCCTCTTCCCATGTACAAAAGCCTAAGAGAGAGTCATGAGCACACTTAAGTGTTCATCAGTTAAACTGATTGGGTGAAAAAGAAAGGAATGTTGTGTGTTTTGTTGTCTGCTTTCAGGTGCGTGTGTGTGTGTGTGATTGTACTGCCAGCTCACCATTTACTTTGTGAATACCTACCACTACTATCTTTGTATCATAGACTCCTCCAACTACCCCCCTATTGTGATATTCTTTATACCAGTTTCCTGTTGTATGTGAAGGTAACTTCCCTCTCGAGCCTAGCATGGGTGGTGATTTGATCTGCCTTCCCCCCAACATCATATCGACTGCTTAGTTTAAGACTTTGCTGTTCATCACTTTTTAAAAGTGCCGCATGACATTCTTACACTGAACAGTCAATATGCTTTTGCCTTTGCAAATGTACATGTGATTTTTATTGTGTGCAGTGATTGTGAGAGATGCATTCCCTTACCCACTCTGTTCTCTTTAGTTTCCTTGAACACCGTCTTTGCCGTAAGCTCATTCACAGCCATCATTTCCCAAATGTGGTAGGGTGATCTTGCCTTTGCTAGATTACTTTTTTCAGTGTATGCCCGCTTTTCGGAAAAGCAACATTTTCTCCTAACTCCATCACGTGAGTGGCAAAGCTTGCCTATAATAAGAAATTGCCACCGTATGTACAATCATAGAAGAAGTAGAATTTTAGACATGGCATACTGATTCCTCAATAATAGTATCTTCTTTACAAAAGTTTGTTTTGTTGTTAAAACAAGTTTGTTTTTGTTTTTTCGGAAAATACACTGGTTGTCGGTTGTCGTTCACAGTTCCTTTTGCTCGAGGCACAGTCTGACATGCTTTATGAGCCCTGCACTCAGAGAATAGGGGGTGAGAAAGGGAATCTTGTTTTCGAAATAGTGTTTTAGATCATTCATTATCTGGGTGTAAGTTTGCATGTGTGTGTGTGTGTATGTAAGCTCGTGCTGGAGAAATATATTTTCAATGCGAGTGTGTCTGTGTGCATGAAAGAAAGAGTGAAAGTTAATTAAAGAAGAATTGATTCAGGAAAGACAACAACTACAAAAAATCATCCTGGGGATGTGCACTGGACACTGGTCACTTCAGCCAGGTCACACGAGCCGACTTCTCCCAGCTCCCAGGGGTCTTGTGCATCAGTCGCTGCCCCTCGTAACCCGCCACCACCCCAGGGCCCGGGCCTCTCTCTCTCTCAAAAGAGGGAGACCTTGACCTCGTGGGTTGACCGGGCGTGTTTCGAGGACTTCAGCCTCCCTGGGTGACATGTTGGATCCAGGGCCTGCACAGACTCCGGGGGCTGGCACGGGGCTGCTGTGTGTGGCCAGGCTTGTGACGGTGGCTGTGTCTGTGTGTGGGCTGTGCTGCTGCAGCATGCAAGGTGCAGGAAGGAGAAGTTTTCGGTTATGCTGCAGTATTTGGGAGATTAGAATGTCTGCCACACAGTCGTCGTTTCCCCCCGCTCTATTTTTTGTAAAATCAGAAATCTTTCGACTTTTGAATGTTTTTGGGTTTCCTTTCACAACAAAGTAAATGCTTCCTGCTTTTAAATACCGGGACCTGCATTTTGTCAAGCTGTGTTGGT